CACTGGGCGTGGACACTTTAGAGAGCTCTCGATGGTATTCTCACTAGGCATGGACTCAGTCATATCGAGCCCAACCCAGACAAAGACCAATGTGGTCCTTGGAGGTGTTGCACCAAGCACAAAGAGTGTGCAACTAGTGCCATTTTGCTTGTGAATTCTCTATTATACTTTTGTTGACTCCTATTGCTATAATTATGTGTTATGATACTGATGTAGATATGTTGTGATGACCATATATGAATGTATGAAAATGATTGATGAGTAATGTGATATGTGAAACTATGACATCATGTGAATGCAACACATAAAGTTTGTTTGCTATGCATTCTATGCACAAAAATGTTTTTGAAAAGGTACGGTATGGAATACATTGCCAATGAAGGTTCCTTGTGTAAAATCTTGGGAACCAACTTCAACGATAACTCAATTCAGAAGTCCTAGTCCTATCCTTGTGAGCATGAGATGTATCTCAATGGTCTTAAAAGCCCCCAAGGTGCCCCTATTATATGGACCCATTATCTCTGTCGTTGTCAACTGGTAGATATTGATGGTCTGTCCAAAGTATCAAGTTAGCGTAACCAATTATCACCTTGAACGTGATTTCCGACAGCGGGCATCCAAGGTTTTTTCAACGGTCGACCATACATCAACCACTCCCTATGGTCATCTCTCTTACCCCTGGGTATAGGGGGAACATGTAGTGTGCAAGGGTTTGTATACAATGTGTTCTTACCAGAGATCGGTCGTAGGGGACGATCTGCTGGGTAAGATCGGTGAGCCTCCTTCACTGGGTACGCTTGCTGTTCCAAGGCGGGGGTGGGACCTACAAAAGAGACTCTGATGCTAAAGTTAGTGTTTGTGGGTGTATGAGTCTCGTATAAGTAATGCACGTACCTTTGTGTAAATTAGGGTTTCATTGGGCCTGAGATCAGTTATGACCTATTTAGATGTCGGGCTGACGTCGCCTAGCACGTGTCCGAGGTCACTCCGCGCTGAGATGCCGAGCTCGAGCTCGGCATAGCAGTACGGATAGTACACTAGCCCCCGAGCTCCGAAGACCGTGGGTCGAGGAGTTAATGCCGAGCTCGGTAGGGGGTCGTGACCCTTCGCATACGCTTCTCTACTGTACTGCCATGTGTCATAACTGTCACTTTGTGTTCCGAAACGCGTGGGCGGCGCGTTAATGGGAATGACGGTTACGTGATGATGGTAGTGCTTCATCATGATGGGGCCTCATTAATATGCTTTCAGTCTTGTCCCCTTGCTGACACGTGTTATTGCTGTTTTGAATTTTGAAGGCCCCTTTTCTCTCTCTCGCGCCCTTTCCCCTTTCACTTTACTTTTTTCCTTTGTCTTGCTTCCGACGCCTCTTCGTTTTTCTCTGCTCATTCTCCTTCTTTGCTTTCTTTGTCTCCGTTCTCCTCCATCGCCTTCCTCGTCAACCGAGTTCTCATCTTCTATTATTGTTCTTTCATTTGTCAAAGGAGAACCAGGTACTTCGATTTCCCTATCTTCTTCCTTTTCTCAAATTTTCTCATCTTCTTGATGGCTGGTAACAGTGATGCCGCTCCTTCCGCGCCTGCCAAGGGTAAAGGCAAGGCGCGCGGCAAGGTGGTGGCCGCCGAGACGGCCGCGACCGAAAAGAAAAAGGGAGGGAGCCAGCCCAAGGAACCCTTCCCCGTCATCCCTGGCTACGACTGGGCCACAGGTGACGTTAGAGAATTCCAGAGTGTCTTCAAGTCGTTCATGGAGATAAATGCGATGCAGAAATCACATAGGATCTATGAACCATCCATTTCTAAGCTTATCCGGCTTGAACCCTATCAACCCGATGAGCGTGTATATATGGGGGGTACCTCTAACCCTCCTTTCTTTTACATGTACTAGTCTTTTTTCAGGGACTTAGGCATATGCATTCCCTTTACCCAATTTGAGTATGATTTTTTAAATTTTGTCAACTCGGCTCCTTGCCAGTTGCTAGGGATGGCAAAATGGGTCGTGGCCCGCGGGCCGGCCCGTTGGCCCACCAAAAATTGACGGGCTGGGCCCATCATTTCAGCCTGTCAACCCGCCAAGCCTGCCCCGCCAAGCCCGCCAACCCGGCGGGCCAAATAGCGGGCTGGCCCGTCACAGCCCGCCAACCCGCATAGGTGATTCCGTAATTAGGCTTCAGTATAAATAATAGGCTTTATATAAAAATAAAAAAAAATCAGGCCCAACAGGTAAAGAGATTAGGAACAGTTCTAGCCATCACACCGAAGAGCACCTTTCGCTTTCCCATCACACCCATATCCTTACATGCATGTTAATTTTTTTTTCAGCAATAAAGCAGAAGCAAGATTGCATAGCTTAAATCAATTGGCAATTGAGTTCACGCAGATTTTACCTTGATTCTGATGTATTTGACACTGCCATAATTTTACACTTCTCCATGCAATAGATGTATATATATATATATATATATATAACATAACTTTTTATGTGATTCATTTTTGTGGCCAATGCATACATTCTTGCATAGACTAATTAAACTAAACGATTCATGCAGATATTATAGATTAACTAATTAAAAATGAAAAGAGATAGAAGCTGTTTATTTAAACATAAAATATTTTTTTTTCATTTTTTTGCAATTTTTTTTTGGTTATGCGAGCTGGCCCGCCGGCCCGTCAACCCACCCTTAGGCGGGGCGGGCCAGCATTTTCAGCCCGTTTATCATTGGCGGGCTGGCTTGGCCCGGCCTGTTTTTGGCGGGCCATTGGCGGGTCGGGCTAAAACGGGCCGGGCTGGCCCGTTTTGCCACCCTTACCAGTTGCACCCCAATAGTTGAGGTTTTTTGAGGGCCTTCCAGGTCCTGTGCTCGACCCTAGGTATAGAGGTATCTCTCCCTATTTTTCTTCATTTCTACCAACTGAAACTGGGTGTACCTCCCTATGGTTGGGTGTCATTGAGCGGTAGTAAGGCACTGGAGGACTATTTTCTCTCTACTCCCAGTCTTACAAGAATTTCAAACAAGAGTTCTTCCGGGTTCTGCTCAAGGAGGTCGACCCGCTGAAAAATGAGGTGTTCTACTTCGGCGGGTTGCCAAAGTTCCCTCTTTACTGGCGGTAGGCTCCGGCCAGGTTTAATGGGTTGGCCAATCTGCAATTGACAGCCTCGGACATTGTTGTCATTAAAGACCTAGAAGCACTTCCTCGTCCCTTGGATTGCAAGCTCGTTTTGTCGCTTGCTAACTCAGCGTACAAGGAAAGGGGTGTAGACTGTAGAGAGTGAGTACCTTGTCTTCGTTAGCTGTCAGGGTTTGTAAAATTTTCTTTTACTAATGTATCTAATTCTTGTATTTGCAAGCATAATAAGCAAAACCAAGTGGTGCAAGCTGAAGTCTCGCTACAACGTTGCCAAGATCGAGGTTCCTGAGCCTCAAGAGGAGGAGGAGGTTGCCCCCCTGGAGACCCGCAGGAAAAGAAAGAGGAGGGAGAAGGAGGTCGGGGGGACCTCTGCCCCTCGCGATGCTGAAGAGGTGACGTCGAACGAGGCCGAACTTCAAGCCACGAGGAGGGATCTTGCAAGGGTGCATAAGTCTATGGAGATCATGTTGAAGGCTAATGAGGTCTACGCTGCCCAAGTAGGCGAGCTTCAGGAGCTCTCTACTTCTTCCCGGGGTAGAGTACGTTCTCTTAAAGACGAGGTCTTGGCGCTGAAGGCTGAGCTGGGGGAAGCTGCTAAGAAACGTCTCTACGATAAGGTGCTTCTTAGCGGCAAGGAGGAGGAGGTTGCGGCTCTGAAGGCAGACCTTGGGCAGCTGGCCGATGCCAAGGCGGAGCTGGAGAGGAAGCTCGTTGAGACTGAGCAAGCTGTCTTGTTCAAGCATAAGAAGGGATTTGTCAAGGCAGCTTGTCAGGCGAGGTTGCTGGCACCCAGAGTCGACCTCTCCGTTATGCATGTGGAGAAAGAGGTGCGTTTCGGGTGACTGTGAAGGAAGACGACCTCCAGGACAACTCAAGTGAGAATGCCTCCGCCTAGGCTGGTTTTGTAATAACTTAGCTTGTTTTGTTCTGCTTATTTCTTTTTCCCTTTGGATTCATGTGTTGAACTCACAAACATTGTCGTGTATATATCATTTTCTGTAAGTTTTGACCTCTACGCTTTTTGATGGTTCCATTTTGACCTTCGTTTTTGAACTCGTGTTTTTGCACTTATGTTTTTGTGCTTTTTGGGGCTCAGACTTGGCCTAGCGTAGATGCGTATTACGGTTCGAACTCGACCTTCGTTTTTGAACTCGTGTTTTTGCACTGATGTTTTTGTGCCTTTTGGGGCTCAGACTGGGCCTAGCGTAAATTCGTATTATGGTTCGAACTCGACCTTCGCTTAAGATAAGGTAATTCGTGTCAAGGTTCAAACTCGACCTCCGGTGGAATTTAGACCTCAGGGTTCAGACTCGACCTTAGTGTAAGATAATTCGTACCGATGTTCGAACTCGACCTCGGTCTAAGGTAAGATAGATCATACCAGGGTTCGAACTCGACCTCGGCTTAGATTAAAATGAATCGTACCAAGGTTCGAACTCGACCTCGGCTTAGAGTAAAATGAATCGTACCAAGGTTCAAACTCGACCTCGGCTTAGCATAAAGCATCTTACGGTAAAATGATGTAGAGTTAAGAGACTATGAATAGAAAAAGAATGAGTCATTTTATTAATGGTGTTGGTGTGCCTCGTTAAAAACCCTCTCAGCCAAAACACATTTTTCTATTTTTTGGGACAAAAGACTCAGTCGAGAAAAGAGTGCACAACTCATTCGTACAAATTTAGCTGAAATAGAACTTGAGATGCGTGGAATTCCAAGTTCTCGGGATGGCTTTGCCGCTAAGTTCTTCTAGTTGGTATGCCCCATTTTCTAAGTCTTCTGTAACTCGAAATGGGTCATCTAGTTGGGTGCAAGTTTCCCCTCTGATGGGTCTTTCTGATCATCGCCTAGTAGCCGCCACACCAAGTTGCCGACCTAGAAAGAGCGTGGGCAGATGCGCGTGTTGTAACTTCTAGAGGCTCGGAGCTTACAAGCTTCTTCGTGGATCCGAGCTTCTTCCCTGAGCTCGTCAATCAGGTCGAGGTCGATCGCTGTCTCTTGAACGTTTTGCTCACTGTCGAAGACTTGGCATCGGTGGGACGTCTCTCCGAATTCTACTGGGATCATTGTGTCGGCTCCATAGGTTAGCCTGTAGGGCGTTTCCTGCGTTGTTGATTGGGGGGTGCAATGGTATGCCCAGAGGATGCTAGGGAGCTCTTCGACCCATTGTCCTTTGGCGTTGCCCATCCGCTTCTTGAGTTCTCGGAGTATCACTTTGTTTGCGGCTTTGGCTTGGCCATTGGTTTGGGGATGCTCCACCGAGGTCGGGAGGTGTTTGATCCCGAGTTCATGGAGGAAGTCTTCGAAGCTCTGCGCGATAAATTGCCTATCGTTATCAGTAATTAGAGAATGTGGGATGCCGAACCTGCATATGATGCTCTTCCAGGTGAATTTTTGTACATTCTCGGCGGTGATCTTGGCGAGTAGGCATGCCTCGATCCACTTGGTGAAGTAGTCGATTGCCACTATGAGGAATTTGAGTTGACCCTTTGCAGGGGGGAATGGTCCGAGGATGTCCATTCCCCACTGGGAAAAAGGCCACGACGACATCATCTGGTGGAGAGCTTCGGGCGGTTGCCGATGTGCGTTGCCGAACTGCTGGCACTCCTTGCACTTTTGTACGTAGGCTTGGCAGTCCGACTTCAATGTGGGCCAGTAATACCCAACTCAGAGTACTCTGGTCGCCATTGAGCGTGCTCCGGAGTGCATGCCACATATCCCTCGATGTATCTCCTCGATGACATACATAGTTTGAGGCTCGGCCAAGCATTTGAGCAATGGGGCGGAGATGCCGCGTTTGAATAGTTCGTCTCTAACAATGACGAACTTAGCTGACCGTACCCTCATCTTTCGAGCTTCATCTTTATCCTCAGGCAAAGTTCCCTCCTTTAAGTAATTCCAAATACCTGTCATCCATCTAGGTCTCCGCTGTCACTGGTGTTGACGACCTTGTCGTCTAAGCTAGGTGAATGCAAGGTCTCCTGGATGATGGTTCGATGTTTCCCAGGGCGTTTGGTACTGTCGAGCTTCGATAGGAGGTCGACTCTGGCATTTTGTTCTCGTGGTACATGATGTATGGTGAACTCGTCGAAGGACGAGATCTTCTGTGATGCCATATGGAAGTACCTCTGTAGAAGGGTGTCCTTAGTTTGGTACGCCCCGTTGAGCTATTCTACCATGAGCTTTGAGTCGCTGTTGCAACTCACTCTCCGCGCTCCGAGGTCGTGAGCCAACCTTAGCCCTACGAGAAGCACTTCGTATTCTGCTTGGTTGTTTGTCACTTTGAAGCCAAACTTGAGAGATTGCTCCAAGGTGACATGATTTGGCCCTTCTAGAATAATACCTGCACCACCACCTTTAGAATTGGAGGACCCATCAACATGTAAAGTCCATACTTGTTGTTCGTCGGCCGATGTTGGAGTCAGTTCGGCCACAAAATCTGCCAGGCATTGGGCTTTGAGGGGTCGCGACTTTCATACTTGATACCGAACTTGGACAGTTCTACTGACCAAGCTATCATCTGTCCAACGAGCTCCAACTTCCTTAGGATTTGCTTGATCGGGTAGTCAGTTTTGCCGACCCCTTGGTGACTCTGAAACTATGGTCGAAGACGCCGAGCTGCGGTGACAAGTGCCAGTGCGAGCTTCTCAATCATCTAATACTGTCTTTCCGTGTCTTGAAGGACTCAGCTGATGAAGTAGATCGACATTTTCACCTTCTGGTTTTCTTGGACTATGACTGCGCTAATTGCGCTTTCTGCCACGGCCAGGTAAAGGAGGAGGTCGGCGCGGTGATCCGGCCTCTAGAGGACCGATGGAGTTGTGAGTAAGACTTTGAAGCTCTTGAAAGCTTTTTCACATTGGTCCATCCACTCGAAGTTCTTTGGCTTTCGCAGCAGGGTGAAGATGGACCCTGCCTTCTCGGCCAACCTGGGGATAAAATGGGAGAGGGAAACCAACCTACCTGCCAGGCATTGGACTTCATTCACAGTCTGAGGGCTCTACATCTGGATTATGGCTTTGCACTTTTTCGGGTTGGCCTCAATCCCCCTGCTAGTGATCATGAAACCAAGGAATTTACCTCCCTGGACGCCGAAGACGCACTTCTCTGGGTTGAGGCGCATGTTGTGTTTTCTGATCTGGTTGAACACCTCGGCCAGGTCGACAACATGACCTTCGACCGAAGTGGTTTTGACCACCATGTCATCGACGTAAACCTCCATGTTCCGCCCAATCTATTGGTGGAAAACTTTGTCCATCAGCCGCTGGTAAGTGGCCCCTGCGTTTTTGAGACCGAATGGCATCACTCGGTAGCAAAAGTTGGCGTGGTCGGTGATGAACGACATGTGCACCTCGGCTGGTGGGTACATCATGATCTGGTTGTACCTGGAGTAAGCATCGAGAAAGCTGAGGAGGGCGTGCCTGGATGCTCCATCGACCAGTCTGTCAATGCTCGATAAGGGATACGAGTCCTTGGGGCATGCTTTGTTCAGATCAGTGTAGTCGACGCACATGCGCCACTTCCCTGAGCTCTTCTTCACCAATACCACGTTTGCCAGCCACGTGGTGTATCTAACCTCGCGGATGAAGCCCGCGTTCAGTAACTTTTGCGTCTCGGTGATGGTGGCCTCTCGCCTCTCACCGCCGACCTTCCTCTTCCTCGGGGCCACTGGTTTCGCCTCCTTGTGAATTGCCAGCCTGTGACAGATAAAGTTAGCATCTATACCTGGCATGTCGATGCTGGACCATGCAAAGAGGTCGACGTTCTTGGAGATTGCGGCTTCAAGCTGTCGCCGTAACTCCGGGTTTAGCTGTCTACTTATTTTGGTGCACTATCCAGGGAGTTTGCCGATCTAGAGGTCATCGAGCTCATCAATAGGACTCGACCGCTCCTCTTGGGAGTCTGACCTCGGATCTAGGTCAGCGATGTCCACGTGGGTGATGTGAGTGATAAGTGCTATGATTTCATTAAGTTTATGGCCTAGTTTGAAGCACTTATATCAATTTTCCTTGCTTTAGACTTTGTTTTTAACTCAAAACATATCTAAATTGTTAGGTGATCACATTCTGTTTTTGAATCATGTTTTTAGGTAACTTACAAGTATTTGGTTGTTGTTTTGTAGTTTAGGAGAAAGCTAGGAAAGAAGGAAGGAAGTCAAGCACAAAGTGGTGAATTTGAAGTTGAAGGAATTTTTGGTTAAGTTCCCTGGTTAAGCCGCAGATCCACGCTTAGCCTCAGCATGGCAGAGAATCCCTGGAACAGATTTTGATCCCCACGTTGAGCGTCGAACTAAGGCTTAGCGTGGATTTTGCTGACATGTCATTATTTACATAAGACAAAAGCTTTTATGACCAAAAAGGGAGATTTTCGAGGAGGGAAGCAAGGAGGATCATTCTTGGACTTTGTGTGGCGGCTGGAGAGCTCTGGAACCTTCAAGATCAAGCTTCTTCCTTTCTTCATCATTTGTAGAGTTCTACATGTCTATGTGTAGCTAAACTCACCCTTGTTGGGGTTTGATGTAACTAAACCCATTCTCATGTGTAAACTCTAAGCTATCAATCTAAGTTGTTATTCAGTTTTATTGCTCTTTTTCTGTGCATAATGCTTGTTATGGCTTGATCACCCTTAACTTGAACTTAAGGTTTTTAAGAGATTGAGAAATGATTTTAAACCTTTGACTTGAAATAGAGCAGCTAATGGTGCTTATTGCTAGAGATAGAGTAAATGCCATTGGTCTTTCTTAAGCTCTTGTTTTTAAAGCTGGTTCCTAAGTTAAACTATGCATGAGATTGATAGTTTAAGCTAGTAACTTAGATTCCAACTTGTAAGAGATTAGGGTTGGTAACTTTTGAGAGTGATTGATAAATTCTGAATAATAGCTATTGTGAACTTAGTGATAAGCATGAGAGGAAGGTTTAGTTTTATTTAAAAATATTAATATGTAATTCATTAATAATTATGATAAATAAAAATCAAATTAGATCAAAAGTTAAATAAAATTCTTACGAGAGTAAGTAAACTCCCTGAAAACACTCTCATATAAAATAGATATTCGTATTTAATATGTAAGGGTTGATTATATATTGAAGATTAAAATTTTTTTAGTGTATAATTTTTTTGTAAATTTTTATTCTTATTCTTCAAATGAATATTTTATTAATTTTAATTGTTGAACTTTTACCGATTTTTACTTTTAGTCTTTCAATATTTTCTTTTGTTAATATTTTGATCCTTGACATAAAAATATTCATAGAAAAAATTCAAGACTAAAACTAAATAAAATTTATTCAAAATTAAAAATTAAAAACATGTTTAATTCTATATAAAAAAAATTCAAACTGTACTATCCGTACCGCGTAACCGACAACGCAAGCCAACCTCGGACGCGCACCGCATGACATCAGCTCGGCATTTAAGTGAATCATAACCGATTCCCGAGGATCTCGCCCCAAACGAGGTCTGTTATCTAATCATATATATTACATCTTATCTCAGGCCCAAGGTCCAAAGCAACCCTAATTCACACTAAGGTACGTGCATTACTTATACGAGATTCATACTCCCACAAACACTAATTTTAGCATCGGAGTCTCTTTTGCAGGTATCACCCCCATCTTGGAGCACCAGCGTACCCGCGAAGGAGGCTCACCGATCTTACCTGGCGGATCAGCTCTACAGTAGATTTCCGGTAAGAACACAAACTAATGCCTTTTTTGATGATTAAAATATATATAACTAACTCTTTTTTTAACTTACGCCAATAAAGAAAAGGAAGAAAATTAAAATGCTAATTTTTTTTGGTAAATGAGTTTTGATAACTAATCTTATCTTATATAGAGATATAATAGTTAAAAAAGTAATATAAATGCATATTAATTAAACAATTAACTCAATATAGTTCAATTTAATCTTAAGAATAGGATCTAAAAGAACAAAAATATTTTTAATTTTCAATTTTTTGATTATGTTTTAATTTTTTAGAAGAATAATATATTTATTAAACATGCAGAGATTTTATATAAATTTTTTGATAATTTATGGTTATATCTTATTTTTGGTAATTTACAATTCAGTCTTATTTGTGTAACAATCCGTTATGACACCTACATTATATGTGTTATCAATTAATAGCCAAAATAACCAATTACTTAGAATTATATATTTATAAATACTTGGGTATATATATTATATAACATGCATGTAAGTGTAAAACAACATACAAGTATAAAACAATATTAGTACCGTAATCTAGTAATTGTCAAATATACAACCTAAGTTATCGATCAAACAACATCTATACAAAGCTACACAAAAGTAACATAAGAAAAATGACATCTTTCTATTCTACTCTCATATCAAGTATGATCATTACAGTCTAACAACATGAAAACAAGTAAGGGTAAGCTAGAATCCAAAGAATAAACATATACAACATAAATCATGATTAATAATCATTTCAACACATCTCATGCGTAACTCAACAATTCAACTCAATCAAAATCATCAATATAGCATATGTATCACATAACAACACAACCACATATGCATAATAATCAATTACATGCATTTTCACACATTTCAACTACGAAGATCTCCTATAATATAAAGTGAGTAGTCTAAGTGGCTTGACCCTACTGAATCAACAACTTGATCTTCTCACACCGGCTAAATCAACAACCAAATGGGATATCAATCCCTACAACATGTTTTCTCAAATGTCGTCACCTAAACTAGAAGGTTTAGTATTCTTGTCAAGGTGGAACTACTTGGGTCTGAGTCTATCACGATATTAGCTAACTTAACTAAGTCTCCTATGAGATTAGCTCACCGACTATTGTCCAAATACTACGCCTCTTTGATACTCAACTAGGGACTAAGTGATTGAGTTTGTACTTTACTTAGATTGGTCTCTT